CAATGTCACGTGAAACAAGAAAGAAATGTTCAACAAAAGTCAATCTTGTTTACGCGGTGTCACTGGGAAGACTTTTAGTATTTGAAAGAAGAAACATGTTATACTTCGCGATATATCATATTACCCGTTTCCCAAATAGGCGCAGCTTATGATTGTCACGATGACTATCCATAATTATATTCGATGACATACTTCCCACAACGACATCGATTTTCATATGTCGGACAAGGATCATGCACATGTACCTGCCGAGGCATATGAGAAACGCCTTAGACAGTCTTTGTCACGGATTGAAAATGATGTTTCCAAGACTTGTGATCAAGATGGGGAAGGTGCAAACGTGATGACAGAGTTGAGAAAATAAATTACGGCTGCGATAATTGAAGGGTGCTTGGAAGAAATGTTAACTTTTATTTTCATTAATTGTATTGATTTAGAAAAGGCTTACGATAAGGTTCCAGAGATATTCTTTGGAGAGTCCTTGAGAAGACAGGTGTTGATATGACTTATATTCATGTCATTAAAGAAACGTATACTAGAGCTATCATTTGTGTTCAAACTGAAGGAGGATTGACCAAATATTTTCCTATTTTTGTTGGATTACATCAGGGATCAGCTTTAAGCCCATATATTTTTGCTTTAGTTATGGATGGTCTTAGTGGACATTTACAGGAGGATGTACCTTGGTGTATGCTTTTTGCTAATGATATCCGTCTTGTGGATAAGACGAGAGAAAAAACCCAGGAAAAACTTGAATTATGAAAGTGTACATTGGAGCATAAAGGTCTTCATTTGAGTAGAACTAAAACTGAATACATGGAATGTAATTTTGGTGTTAGTAGCTCTAGTGACATAAGTGTAACTTTGGTGATCAAATTATTAAAAGGTGTGAACGATTTAGATATCTCGGGTATGTTGTTCAAAGCGATGATGATATAGATGGAAATGTTAATAGTAGAATTCAAGTAGGTTGGTTTAAGTGGAAGAATGCTTCGGGCCTTTTGTGTGTGTGAATTGTGATAGAAAAGTGTCACTTAGACTGAAAGGAAAATTTTATAAGACGGCGGTGAGATTTGCAATGCTCTATGGCGTCGAATGTTAGCCTTTAAAAAAGAAGCATAATATCAAGTTAAGTGTTGCTGAGATGAGAATGATTAGGTGGATGAGTGGCTTTACACTTAGAGGCAAAATGCGAAATTTATATATCCGTGATAGGGTTGGTGTAGCTCCTCTGACGAACAAAATTAGAGAAAATCGTCTTAGATTGTTTGGTCACATTAAGTGTCGACCATCTGATGATTCGATTTGGAGAGTAGATGTTTTAGATTTGACTTACGTTAAGAAAGACAGAGGTAGAGCTAGAAAGACTTGAGCTTATTGTATAAAAATGATTTTAATTTATTAAAACTAAATGAAAATATGACACTTAATAGGACGTAATGGAGAAAAAAGATTCATGTAGCCGACCCACGGCGTGGGGAAAAGGGGTTGTTGTTGTTGTTGTAACTGTAATAATTGTCGAAGACATTCACGGTTTATTGTATTAATCTTTTATACAATTCATGTATATTTCTGTTCATATGCATTTAATATTTACTGTATTGGTTTTTTACACAAGTTGTAAGTGTTTTTTTCCTTTTGCATTTTCTTTTTTTCTTTTGGTGGGTTTTGGAGGTCGATGATGAGACGCTTAACCTTATGAGTTCTTCTGAATGACCTATATTTATTAGTTGGTGTCACATGTGAAATCCTAATAAAAACAATCAAGTTCCTCTCTTTTTTTCGGTGCTACGATTTTTTAGGTTCTTCTGGAATGTCTCTTTTGGTGATATGCATATGTGACACACACAAGTTTGATATTAGATGGGTTAAATGCAACTAAGAACCATTTTTTTATAAGGTTTGTTTTCTTCTTATAGTGCAGATTCATTAATTTATATACCTCACAGCTTCATAAAAATTTAATTACTTTGTTATGATTTTTTACTTTTACTATATCGAAGGGTGTGTTTTTTTAAACTTTTAGGGAAAATGAGCTCAAAGATTTCTGGTACCTCCAGAGGATTGTATTGCTACTGTGATCTTCGGTGTTCTCTGCTGACTTCACGTCAGTCACATAGCTACGAAAGAAAGTTTTATAGGTGTCCATAGAGAATCACAAAAAACTATGACAATTTTCAGTTAGCAGATGGGCCGGAAGATTTCACCTATCATTGCAGGACGGCTTAGCTCGTGACATACGTCGTCTGCATTTGAAAAGTAATATTATCATATTATTAATTGTTGTTTAATAGTCATTTTCTTAATTTAAGTAGTTATGCTACTCACAGTTTAGCGAGGTATCCATTTTTATTTTGTAACGTTCTGCACTGAATATTTTCTATTAAAGTATAGAATGTACTAGTATGAACAGTTCTGTTGCAAACAACATTACTATACAAGGGCATAATGTCATTTGTCCAGAAAAAGTTGCGGTACAACTGTTTTTAAACTATAAAAAATAAAAAAAAGACCAGCTTATCTGCAGCAGCTTTCTATGACAGCTGCCATAAACAGACCCTTAGATAAAAAAAAATATAAAATCCTTAACTACAAATTTGAATAAATTTCATTTCTTGTCCATTTTCTCTCATAATTTGTTATTGACTAATTTGATGCTAATGATTTTGACAAAAAATTGAAATAAATGAAATCACTATTTTGTGGCAATTAACTTGATTGCACATTGATTTATTTGTTTTCCAAATTCACACTTAAATTGTCAGATAATTATGATTATCTCATTATAAACCAAGTTTGAAGAATCATATCATATTTCATTTAAAAAAAAAGAGAGTTATTAGATTGATTAACAACATGTTAACCATGAATCCTCAATGTTTCTCTATATGAAAGCATAAAATGTATCATATTAATTTCATAGGAACATCTTAGCACTTAGTCATACCGCACAATGCCGAAAGGAAGTCTAAAACATGTAAAAACACAGTAAGGATTTCTCTAAATTGAACCAAATTCTAGGAGTAATTATACTAAAAATGTTCAAGGTCTTCTTAAATGAGAATAATACAGGATATCGTGTGTAAAATGATCTACCAACTCATCAGGTAGAATTTAAAAAAATCAGTATGGCTACAACATAGAAGATCAATATAGATGCAAAGGAAAACAAAGGAAAGTGTGGCATAAAAGTAAGCTGACACCCTTAGCACGTCATTGATTCCAATGGAATAATATGGACTACCCCACTTCCATGAGTTTGTAAAAAAGAAAATTAGAATCATTATTTGATGCAGAAGTTCATCGAAATGTTGGTGGATTCGATGTGGGAGCACTATGAGCCAGTTCTATGGTTCCTAGAAGGTGTTTAAGGTCGGATTAAGTCAACGGGGAGGTGGTTGTGAAATAGCACGAGGGAGAGAATATGTAAAGTCAACAGAGTTTGGAAGGAGATAGAAGTCGTTTGGTGGCTTTCCAGGATGAAAATAGCAAAGATAACCATGAAAAAACAGTTCCGACGAGGCACAACTGTCGAGAGAGATCCACCACCTATTCCTAAGAAAGTTACAAACAAATCACTGTAAAAAAAAAAAAAAGATGATGAAACACTGCTTAGACTTGGAGCAAAAAATTAGAGAACACAATCTCCAAATATATAAAACAAAGCAGAAGTCCCAAAACTAAGAAATAGCAAAAAGTTTAGCCTAGAACGAGCCTTCTTGGTTTGGACCGCCACTAAAGTATAGCAAGTTGCTCTGCAAGTTCCTTGGCAACCCTAGTTCACTCTAAGATCTAATCTTGGTGATCTTGGCCAACCAAGACAAATCAAATTTCCATCACCTCCACAAAACTCCATATTCATCATTAAATTACACATATCACCCTCGCTCCATACCCCCAAAGAAGGTGGGTTACATCCATATCAACAAACACCCTTGATAGGAAAACTCAAACCATAACAGAAATGTGAATGTTATTGCTAAAAATCAAAAGGGTTACAAACAAAGACTCTTGACTTTAAAAAAATAACGACACAAACATAAAAGATGCCCCAAGGAGAAAGCAAAGACGGCAAACACCGACTGAACAGCAAGGGGGTTGGTTGGATGGGGCTTGCGGCAGCTATGGATGGCGCTGGAAGGGGTTACAGTACAACAGAGATGGGGCGATGGCAACAGGTTTGGGAGTTGGAAATGGTTACCGTAGTAGCTTTGGGAGAGGGAGAGGGTCACGGCAGCAGATTTGGGAGTTAGTGCTGGTTATGACAGCCACATTGGGAATGGAGGAAGGTTACGGCAGCAGCTTGGGAGAGGGAGAGGGTCACAGCAGCAGATCTGGAAATTAGGTCTGGTTATGGCAGCAGATCTGGGATTTAGGGCTGGTTATGGCAGCCACCTTGACAATGGTGTGGTGGCGCGTGTGTGTGGCGCAGTGCATTGGGAATGAGGGTGCAGATAAAATTAGCAAGGAGAGAGATGGAGCTAGACGTCGGAGAAGATAAATCACCACTGGGGAGAGGTAAACAGCCGGAGCACCGCCCTAACCATCAGATATAGCCCAAGAACGGGAGAAGAGGATGCTGGCGGCTGTGCAAACATAATCTGAAATAAACTCCCAATGAAAAGAGGGAGGAGGGGGTTCGGTTCAACCCCTACCCCATGCTGAACTGGGTTGAACCGGTTCAGCCCCCCTAGCCCTCGTCAACCCTAGCACATGGCTCCTTCAACATTTCATCTCATTCAGTTTAGCATTTCAAGGTTAATTTCTAATTTTCTCTATTTTTGAGACATCCCATCTAGTAAAAATAATTCTCCAAACAACCACCCCAAAACACTGACAATATATATGGACCTTAAACAAAAGGCACGAAGGAAGTTACATAATAAATTCATGCGCAAAAAAAAAACAAAAACAAAAAAGTGCATATAAATGTGCTCATTCATATTACTGTTCAAGTATGAGAGCTATTTGAAAAAACACAATGTAAGGTTGACACTTACTCCTGTTTAAAACAACCAATTTCCATTCTGCACGCAAAGCCTCAAAATTTGTTCCCAGAATGGGCCAAAACTTCAACTGAATTTTCAGAACCTGCAGGACGGTTTCAAGTCCAGCTTCAGAAGGCTTGACATTAGACATATCGTATCCTGGATTTTCACCGAGCAACACCTGGAACATTAAAAGGATTGAATCTCAGACAAGTGCAAAAAATAATAAAAACAAATTTTAGTAAAATAAAATAAAAATATGATCTTTTTTACCCTTTAAATAACGTAGGGCAATTCAAATTCAAAACTAAATTCAAATGACCACAATTTCAACATATAAACTTAAAGATTAAGGACTTTATTTTTTAAAGATAAAATAAAAGGAAGATGATTGCGCAGATGCCACACGCAGAATTTGTATGTTGTCTTTACAAACCAAAATCAATAAATCAAAACAGGCCATAGAAACAAAAATGATTTAATACAATGGATTAAAGCAAATCAAACTTGTGCAAAAGCATTTTAGAAATTCCATATATATAAATTTAACCGGCAAAAATAAGAAAAGTCCAATGAAAGACCCTTAAATAAACTGAAAGAAGAAATGATGCAGTTAGAAGCAGGACATAATCTTCATAACTAAAAGCTTCTATATAGAAACCATACATCCTAATAAAAGACAGTAACAAAGCCTTCGCACAACTATTAGGGGCAGGCTTTAGCTGTAAGTCTATCTGGGGATGTATCCTCCTCTTCCCTTCTAGGGCCGTATCCGAAGGCAAGAAAGTGCTCAGGCTGTAACTTGTTTAAGAAGGTAATCTTCTGCAAGGGTTTGAGAGGTACTCCAGCTGTAACTCAATCCTGTGGGGATAGTTATCCTTCTCCCACTCCCTTCTGCAGCCCCTTTTCCTTAATTCCAGCCGTCCAACACACTTACACCTACCTCCTTCCAGCAACCACAGGTCCACCCTTTCCCCTGCTGCCTTTTCCACAACCTGCCTTCCGCCACTACTGCAAAGCCTCCTCCCTCCCTTACCTACTGACCGCAACCCATCTCAGCTCCCATCTGCTATCCCGACCTGCCGCCTGGAAACCATCCCCCATCCCCAAATCTGCTTCAGTCTTTGAACTGCAGACAATCACATCTCCCTCCCCTGCAGTTAAACTCCTCACAGTAACCACACCTCCCATCTCCCCAGCCAACCTCCAACCCCGTCTTCAACATGTAGTCAACCACAACTCCTCTTTCCCCCCTTCCTGCTGCTGCCGCACCCACCCACTATTACCACTATCTTCTGTCCAGCCGGTGTTCACTTTATTCGTCCTCGCCCAAGAATGTTGTTTGTGTTTTCTGCTGTTTTACCCCAATTTAAGAGTCGTCGTTGTGACATATTTCAATTTCAGTAAAAATATTTGTATTTTTATTGTGGTTTGAGTTAACTTCAGTATCATTTGGTATTAGAGCCGGGTTTAACCCTAGTCCTATCCTAGGGTTTCCTTGCATCCGCCCCTACCTAATCCACCTCCAACAAAATTTTTCTTTACTGTTTCCAAACCATAGCCAAAATTTTGACCTAATCCTAATTCCTTAGATTTTTAAAATCAGCTACCTCAAAATAAATTCTCTACACTATAAATCAGCCCAATACACCATCTCATCTCCCAAACCTAAGCACATCTCACCGCCCAACCCTAAACACTAGCCATGCCAACAAGGAAAAACATGTATGAGCCAACTTGGGAAGAGATACAACAAGAGACCCACCAACTTCAGTAGAGGCTTATGGACATTAAGGATAAAATCAAATGGAAGGTTAACCTCGACCGTGATCGGGAGAGGCAAAGGGGAGAACAAGAGAATCTAAAGATGAAGCGAGGGACAGTGTAAGTTCCTACCAGCTTACTACAAACAAAGGGTGCACACTGTAGCTTCAAAAGTGGAGAGACCATGTCACCGAGCGACCCCCACATCCTACAGGCAGAGTTCAACCTCAGAATCTTACAGTTAGAATACACCCAATAGCACACCCAAGACAACCACGTCAAAGTAAAAGCTGATTCAGAGTGATGAACGGGTAGGACCAATCCACATCCCTACATCTGTCACAGCCAGGAAGTGTTAAAAGAGCAACAAATTTAGGCATGTTGAATCAAAATGCACAACCAAGGGAGTGATCTATTTCACCGAGCAGAGTGTCATTCAAAAAATGGACAATGACACCGTTGTTCCAAAAGAAGATGAAGACTTCAGAAAGAATTCTCAACATGGAGTCAACAAAGAAGAGATGTTATCGATTCCAGTTGACCCCAGGCGAGGTATTCCGGTTGAGGTAACAATAGTTATTCTACAAGGTAGTTACATTGATGTAATGGGTGTTTATGCAGAGTATAAAATTTTGGTGCCTCGAACTACCATTTTGCAAGCATTTAGAGGAACATCAGCAGAACCGACCTTGAATGTCCAAAAGAGTCCTAGGCTGGAGTAGCCGATATCAGATATAGGGTCACCACAGATAAGAGCAATGCAGATTTTTCATATGCATAGACCCTTCCTGAGTTATCCCTACAGAAGGAAGTTCAACATGTCAAAAGTGATCATTTTTGTGCCATGTCGAAAATATTACGTAGAGCTGATCAAATATTAGTTTAAGTTTAGCATGATACCCATTGTTAGATGTCCAGTCAGGAGAGATGAACCCCGACCTTGTAATGGGCCCGAAGAGCTTAATGGGGACGAAAATTCTTCAATGAGATTCAGGTCCTATTATTCAAAAAGAGGTTTCTCCTGAGTAGGTGCTAGTGAAAGTGGTGCAGTCTGACATAAATGTCACCCTTGAGTTGATTTTTCCACACATTAATTTATCAGTTACATTATGTCAAATACGAGTGGGAGAAGAAAATTATATATTTACTTGTTCAGAATTTAGCTCGAGAGAACCTAAGTCGTGTACCTCTGACACAAATTGTGTCAGAAGAGGACAAATACCTAGTATATCAAGATGTTCTTTAGAATGCCGCCGCCGCCCACAAAATTAACTTACATGAAAATTATAACACGACTGACCTGATTACTATGAGATAAAATGCTTCGACGAATGAGGACGAAGCTCCCCAAACTCTGGGAGACTGACGCGGGGCCTGAGAGCAGAACAGGCCACACTCAGTTTAGCACGAGAGGGTTTGATCAAGCAAGAGGTTGGACCAGCCCCCTCTCCCTCTTTTCATTATTCCCCCCACTTCCTATTTTCATTTCCCACTTATCCATCTTTTATTTATATTTTGTTTCTATATTTTAGAGTGAGTTCTCTGTGAGCCTTTGTTGAATGTCTGTTCGGACAGCCGCCGACGTCCTCCTATACCCTTCTAGAGTTGTATCCGATGGCGAGAAGGTGCTCCGACTGTAACTAGTCCGAGGTGGTGATCTTCTCCAAGGGTTCAAGAGATGTTGATTGTAATTTAATAAAGTGGGGACAGTTATCCTTCCCCCGCTCCCCTCTGCAGCCCCTTTTCCTTGATTCCAGCCGTCCAACACACTTGTGCCTACCTCTCCTCCTTCCAGCAACTGCAGCTCCACCCTTCCACCTGCTGCCTTTACCACAACCTGCCTTCCGCCACTACATCAAAGCCTCCTCCCTCACTTACCTGTTGATCGCAACCCATGCCAACTCCTGTCTGCTATCCTGACGTCAGACCACAACCAAACCAGCTGCCTTACCCCATCCCATGCCCCAACCTGCCACCTGGAAACCATCCCCGTCCCCAAATCTGCTGTTGGCAGCACCTTCAACCTTCCGGACTGCAGCCAATCACAGCTCCAACATCTCCCTCCACTGCAGTCAAACTCATCGCAGCCAACCACACCTCCAATCTCCCCAGCAGACCTCGTTTCCACCCTGCAACCAACCGCAACTCCTATTCCCCCCCTTCCTGTTGTTGTCGCACGCTCCCACTATCCCCTCTACCTGTTGTCTAGCCGGTGTTCGCCTTGATCGTCCTCGCCCAAGAGGAGTGTTTATCTTTTGTGTTGTTTTACCCCTTAGTTAAGAGTCGTCATTGTAACCTTCAGTAATAATATTCATATTTTATAGTGGTTTGGGTTAACTCTAGTATCAACAAAAGACCCACTGACCTCCAACAACATGGTGTTCCATGATCTTATAAAGATCATGAAAACAATTTCTTCTCAAAGTAAGAGCTTGAGTCTTTGGCCTCTAAAGGTAGATCCATAAGGTGTTAGGTATTTCCCTTTACCTCTAGAAAGAACTTCATGATTTGAGATCATTTAAAGTAATTTTTTCTGTTTAAGTAAAAAGATGCTTGAAATACTTGAACCTCTCCTTCGGTCAAATTTTTACCATTAATCATGGTTGAATTATTTAAAGAAAAGTAAAAGAACCCAAACAAAACAAATAGAAAGGGAATTTGGCAAGAGGGATAAGATTAAAAGTAGAAACCCTAACCTTAGAGAGTAAGAAAAAAAAGGCTAAAAGGAACACCCTGACCTTGTTTTGATACCATGTAAAAACTAGAACAATGGAATTTTTTTTTAAGAATCTTATCTCATTCTTTGTACAAGAGAAGAAAATATATACATCACCAAGATGCATTACAAAATAGGAATAAAAAAAAAAGGAAAAGAATTAAGATTCAGCAATCATGTAGGAAAGCACGGGATTGCAATTGGAGAGTCCTAGAGAAATGGATTCTACAATACAAAGTTTCGATCTGTGCACTATTCTTTGCTATTATTGGAGTAGCAGAATTTCAACACAAACTACTTTTAGGTGTGGGACAGGAAGTGTATCGATGGCAGCGGCAGCAGCCTCAGCAGAGCAGAAACAGGAAAACAGACCAGCAAAGGCAGCCATGGCAGCAATATAGCAGTTTCCAGCAACGCATGACAGCAGCAAATCAACAGTGGAAGCAATAACCAAGACAGCAGTTTGCCAAAGCAGATAGTAAACAAACAAAGAAGGGCAAGACAGCGGCTAAAATGAGTAATTCAGAGCTTCTGTTCCAATAAAACCATCATAAACTCAGCATTAATGGTGGATAATTACCTTGACAACTGCTGTAGCTGAAGATGATATAGAACGCAAGTTGTAGCTGCACAATAAAATAAATAAACAATTTAGAATTGCTACATTTTATAATGAACAACTTTTGAAGATTTACATACATACCACTCAATTCCTATGTATTCACATATCTGAAACCTAAACTTAAAGTTCTACATACATGCCGTATTTCACTTTAAAAAGTTAAAATGGTGGTAGTTTAGATCTGATATAAGAAAATTGAGTGGTACAAATATAAAAAAGTAAAATTTAGGTGTTAAATATGTAAATACATAGGAAAGGAGTGGTATGTGTGTAAATGCCCCAACAACTAAAGAAGCACATAAAGACCACAGACCCTCCCTCAAGTATCACCAGCAATTTTCCTTGTGAAAGGGAACACAACATATGCGTCATCTGCGCATATCCAGCAGGGGTCACCTGGAAGAGAAAAACTCCAAATGAAGAATGGCAACTAGCATGTCAAATCTAAAACAAAAACAACTCATTTATTTATGCTATTTATGCACGCGACTTATAAAATAAATTGAGAATACTACTGTTAGAAAAATATGGTAAACTTTTTCGTTGTTTTTGTTACTCTATAAAAAGTTGGGCATAGAGCAATAGTTAGGTTGCTTCCATTATAAATCTTGGAAAAATAAACCACCTCTTCAAAACCAAAATAAGGTGGCGTAAAGAAACTCTTCTCCAACCAGGCACGATCACAATTCTCTGCTGCAATAAACCTTTTTAAGTCCCGCATCATTTTACAATTTGCAACAGTATTCTTTTATAATAATAATAATAAATAATAAAAATAAAGCCAACAAATTGTTCAAACAAGTGTACCGCTGCAACATAAGTTACTTATTTAGAATAACTTATAAAACCAAACCCAGGACAATTCCCTTAAAACTATCGCATAATTAGCTAAATTGGACAAAATGAGATATTAGCTCATGCCTAATTATAATTTTGATTTAACTATGTGAAGTTGGGTAGAGTTCTTACATCACAACAACCAAGTGGATCACCTCTTGCGGCATCAAATCCTGCCGATATTATGGTAATATCCGGCGCAAATTCTGAAGCTGTAATTAGACAATTGAGTGGGTAAACTTGGGCTATTGATTAGAATAACAGCGAGATATAAGAGAACAAAGGAACAAAATAAGGAAATTTCAGCATAAGAGCTATAAAACATATTAAATATAATATAAATAAATAAATAAAAAGTACAGCACTACTTTGCACTGAAAATTATAACATAGATTATGCATGAAGAAATGACTAGAATAGCATAAAGTTCAAATACTTATCACCTGATTATGCTAATTTTCAACAAAACTAATCCAGAACATTTTTCCAAGCATCAGAAAAAAACATGCACTTTAGAACCAATGGAAGGAGAAAAGATGTCCTGATTTGCACATAAACTATGAAGCACCATTTTAACTTTTACCAAATCATTTATAACACATCAACAGTACCACCATTTTAACTTTTACAGGTGAAATATGTAAGAAAATCAAAGTTTAGGTGTTAGACATGTAAATAGATAGGTATTGAGTGGTATGTATGTAAATTTCAAAAAAAAAAAAAACTAATTTGATTTTTCTGAGCCAAGAGCTGAGATAAGCCGGTCTAACAGCTGCAAGCTGGATAAAAAAATGGAACAGCACTTCCAACTGAATCCTCAATCATTGCAAGAAAAATCGTCCTCCTCTTAAAGTAAATCAGTCCTCTACTTTAAGACAGCAGCTCTCATCTTCTTGAGTTACGGATGGCAGCGAACTTCAAGGCTTTCAGGGACCATGGCTTTACCAATCCACATTCTACCATCATCCAAGAGAATGTTCAATAAGGTATTAAACCTACTCTTCACAAATCTTTTTGAACAATTTTTATTCAAAGTTACAATAGGACTACAACTTCTATTTCTTAATTCATCAACACTAACATTATCTGACTACAACTTTTATTTCTTAATACATCAACACTAATTTTATCCAGGGAATTTACATACATAGCACACAATTCTTATGTACCTACATATCTCATACCTAAATTTTCATAGCTACACACATACCACTCAACTCTTTAATATTACATAAAAAATAGCACTATTACCACTTCTTAAAAGTAGAATCCACCTTTTCATGCCTAGGTTCAAAGCATCAAAGTACTAGGTAAGCAAATATAAGAATAGTGTGAGATACGTAAATACATAAGAAATGCATGCTGCGAAAGTAAATTTCCCTTTTATCTGCCCATTAAATGGGTGCATGTTATATTGTTCATTATACATTCTAGACAACCTAACTCTATTTTCAAGTGCCTTGCCTTCAATAGATGTTTCTACAATCATCAGTCTAACAAACTGATTCCTTAACTTATCCTTCCTAATTTTGTCATAAATCCACCTTAAGATTGAGTTTACTTTACACCATTCATTACAAATCTAAAAAAAAACTGATTCTATATTTTCAAGTGCTTTGCGTTCAAGATGATTCTTCAATCGTCCTTCTAATATAATCAATCATTAAGACACCGCTGTAAAAATTTCAAAAATTCATTTTAAAATTTTCATTTCATCCACACTTAACTATCAATGACTTTTTAATGACCCAATACTCGAACTCCATAAACATAGTCGATTTAACTATAATTTTAGAAATTTTAACTTAAAAGACTCCATGATATACTTGTTGATCTCTACTGGTTTCACTAAATGATTCGATCGAATGCAATGGCAATGATGGCAAAGAAACATATTTACGAATAATTGGCCTAGAAAATCCTATTTACATAAAAAGTGTGCTCTGGTTGCTCGCATCGCAAAATGACCCATTCTTATGTGTATTAAATGCCAATTTATCATATGAGAAAGGAAAATTAACAGAAGACAAACCACACAATTTTGACATTAATGAAACAAGAAAGAGTTAATAAGAAAATGGTACTAAATCAATGCAAGAAGGTTAAAAATAAAAAAATTATATAACATATAGAATTCACAAACTTTATCTTAAAAAATGTATTTATACAAAGATCTTCTCTTAAAAATATGTTTTACACAAATAGGAGAAGAGATAAATGTTGGTTTTACAGTCCCTTGATTTGCAAGATGAAGAATTGGGAAGTAAAGATTGAAAAGATTTTAAAAAAAAGTTAAAAAAAAAAGATCTTGGGCAACTGTCAATCCCGTAGTCACAAGACTTCACCTATTACGGACTCTCGCGATCCTGTGAGATAATCTCATCCAGCGCCACTCTCCCAGGATAGAAGAGTTTTTCCCTAGCCTCCAAAAAAATCCAGGTCTGCAAAGTATAGTATCAAGTCAACAACATTAAAAGGGATAGAAATATTGTAGACTCCTGAAAGATCTATTTTATAGGCATTGTCACTAATATTCTTAACAATCCTGAAATGGCCCATCAATTGTAGGCCTAAGCTTTCTAAATAAACCGGAAGGAAATCGCTCTTTCATAAGTCTTATCCATACCATGTCGTCTTCCTTGAAAACCATAAAATTTTTTAATATTGTTGGTTCGCTTCTAGTAATTGACATTCTACTAAATAGTTTCCTTCCTAACCTGCTCATCCAGGATCTGAATATCCTTGCTCGAACCTCGGCATCATTGCTAAGCTCAGTATTGGTGCTAACTCCAAAGGTGTAAGAGGTTCACGACAGCATACAATCTCAAAAGAGCTACAACCTGTGGACTTATTAGTAGACAATTGTAAATAAACTCTACTTGAGAAGAGCCAAATCTCACCACCTGATCTGCTTTCCTACAAAGCATCTAAGCTTATCCATACCATGCTGCCTTTCTTGAAAACCACAACTCCGAAATATCGTGTCATCCCTCGATTATAACACTCCTATAAAATATTCTCCCTAAATGAACTCCGAAAAAATGCACAATCTATACTAGAACATATGTATCCATCATATTCATTACAAAACAGATTTATGGGGCTTGTTCCAAACCAATCCTCCATGTACACGGAGTTGAGTCGGTTGAGCCTACATCCAAGCAAAATCACAAACGAATAAAAAGAAACTCTTCGGCTTTTCTCCCATGCAAAGTAAGGCCGTTAATTCCCAAGCCATAAACCCGAACCATTACATGTCAAGCAAGGCATTCACAGTTCATTTTCCAAAAATCCACCACAACCCATATTTTTAATTCAACAATTATCTATAAGCAAGTGCTAGCAGTACAGAACCAATATCAGAAGATTTAACCACTAGGTTGCCTATTGTTTTTTTATCACTTTTAAATCAGGGAGAGTATATAAAAACTCACGGGATGAATAGTCACATAATTTCACTATTTTATTACTGCAATCGCTGTCTTCAATTTGTCCATTGTACTTGTTTATTTTTCACTTTCGTTCCACTCTTAAGTTGCAAACTTACCATTTCATTTTTTTTCCCCCTTTATACTTTAACATGCTATCCAAATTTTTTCAGTGGTAGGCCTTTTTCATAAATGATGCATGGTTATCTAATTAGTCCTGTACCCAATCTCCCTATTTACACTCAAAATGCTGAAATAATTTTTTGTGCCCTATGTTCTTGTTGCCTCTATTTAGTTGCCGTATTTTAATATATATCTTTTTTTTTTCAAAAGGAATGGCCTGAGGCTATTATACGAGCCCCGACCATCCCCAATGTGCCTAACAATTCAAGTACCACACCCTCCACCGGGAGGAATCGAACCCCAAACCAGAGGAAACTTATAACTGACAAGCAGATGTCCGACCAACTGATCTGAGTACGATATAGATATAGACATAGTTTCTACCAAACATCTTACACGTGAAAGTATACTATTGGACGCATTTTCATTCAGGGAAGCAACAAAATGGGAAAATCAATGCAGAAGTACTAGTAAAAGAATTTGCAAACTGAGCTTCTTCACCTTTGCATGTGAAACATGACATTAAATTTTAGGACCATTTACATACCACCAAATTCCTATCTATTTACATAGCTAGCATCTAAACTTTATTATTTGCATTAATACCACCCAAAACTTTCATATCACACAAAAAAATACCACTATTTTAAGTTTAAAAATGTGAAATACACCTTTCCATGCATAGATAAGGTGGCATATATGTAAAAATTAATTTTTTGGTATTAAATATGTAAAAACATAAGAATTGAGTGGTATGTATGTAAATCTTACTAACTTTTATAAATCTGTTTTGTAATGAATGCCTTCTCTGCTAATTTCAATCGTTGAAAGATAATGAAATGGTAGTTAATTTCTACGATAAAATATAGTTACACAAATATGATTAAAAAAACAGACACTTAGGACATTTAAAATTTCCCGGATAAAAATATATCTAAGTTTTCAAGCATCACTAAGAACTGGACTTGATGCAATAGAACAATAACTAACCAGGTCCCCAACACATTTCAAGAAGAGATTATGAATTTACGAAACAAGTTATTTAAATAAAATGTGATGGCATACATAGTAAAGCAATGTGCTGATGGCTAATCAAAACTCTAATAAATTTTAGTGGTTAACTAATGGTTTGAATGCCAATTCCAATTTAAAATCCTAAGAAGAATTATTTATAATAGCAATTATTTTATATATAAATGATTGCTGGGTGATATAAATAAAGTGCCAAATAAAAAACTTGTGGCTGCAAATGTGAACTAAAAAGTTCATTTAAAAATGATTAGATGCACATAAATGATACAACTTTCTTCATCGCTTTCGTTAATCTGTAATACTGAAATTTATTTCCAGGCATTTAACAGTCAATTCACAACAAATGTGTAAAGTTTTCAGTACTATTCATTTAACCTGTATAAGGAGAACTATAATTAATAATTCAGACAACAGCACATAGACAAGATCACAGGAAATAAATAAAGCTGAATGCAGTAGTCTCAGATAAATATAGGAAAAATATTATATAACATTGGAGCTTTAGATTACGTTATATGTTATCAACCACAGGAACGTAGTACCCTGATTTGGCTCTAAAATTAACATCTCATTCTTCAATCAACAAAATCATAATAATTCATAATTCAGGGCATTTACATAAATAGCACCCAATGCTTATGTATTTATATATCGAACACCTAAACTTTTTCTTTTACATTTAGACCAGCCAAATCTTTCATATCTTAAATTTAAAAAAAATGAAATACACCTTTTCATGCATAGATAAGGTGGCATGGCATATTAAGTAAAAATTGAAGATTAGGTGTTAGATATGTAAATACATAAAATTAAGTGGTATGTATGCAAACATTCCTAATTCATACAATGAAGTTAACCGCCATGTCTACTCATTTTGAGTATTAGAATCCTTTCTCAGCATAACAGGAAAAGTATCATACATTCACCAAGTATTTTTATTTTGCTAGTATCTGATTAATATCAGAGATTGTTTTATACCACAAACTCCGCAGCCCACATTCTCACTTTAGGCCAACATATTTCCTTGAAATGCCATAGTGCATATGAATTCGTATGATGTTCATTAATTTGGAAAAAATACAGCAACGATTAGCAATGATATACTTGTTCAGTTATAGGATAAAATTTTGGGGATCATTTACATAGATACCACAGAATTATTATGCATTTACATATCTAACACTCAAACATTCAAATCTAGCATCACCAACACTACCTTTTCAAAAGTGATGCGCTTTTTCATGCATAGGTTTATAACACCAAGAGATTATAAATGTAAATATCAAACTTTAGATGTTGGATATGTAAATACAGAAGAATTATGTTGTTTATATGTAAATTTCCAAAAAAAATTACCTATGGGAAGGACAATGTGCTGAAAAGCAAATATGTAATCATTATCTCCAACACCTCCTCGACTCCAAGGTATGTTAACCGAGAATCCTTTACCATCCATAACACCAACCTGCATCAAAAGAAGAGCTAGTAATCAAATATAAAAATGAGTAAAAAAATATATGATCAGAAAAAGATGAACACATTTATCATGCACAATTTTTAACTAAGTTGTATAAAGAAGGAATATCTGTGAAATCATTCAACATAACATTGCCATAACCATTGAACTAGCAAACTTTCTCGCATGGATAAGAAAAATTCAAATGAAATTGGCACAAATAAAAGTACTAAAACGTGTGATCTTGCAATTTTTTCTTTGAAACTACTGCTAAGGGTAATACATGAGTTATCATTGGGAGGGAATACGAATTGTCATTTTACAAATATATCTTATCATTAGTGTTTAATCGCTACTAGGAGAGGTGTTATTTTAGATTGCGTTCGTAATGGCTGTAATTTTTTACAGAGATGATCGTAATGCGATGAGGAAAGCAACTTTTAGAAAGTTGTATGATTTATAAATTTTATTTTTTTCCAAAAAGTTGGATAGCAGTTTTCTTACAACCACCGCACTTTAACAAATGCAAAAAACAGCTCCTCACGACAGAAATTTTTAGAAAGCAAAAGAAAAGCAATTTCTCAAATAGAAATATGATGGCGGTCTTAAATGCAAAACAAATAGAAAGCTTGCTCAAACAGACACTTGGTGGGGAAACCATTCTAAACTAGATAATACTAGCCAAACAAAGCAAGTCCGTTAAGTGGGCATGACGCACAATATCTAGTTACCAATTTCCCTGAAATCCAAGCTTGAATTTTCAAAGAAAGTTATGTCAATCAAAGATATGATCTTGAATTTGGGCGAGAAAAGAAACCCACCCTTCATCGCCGCCTACTGCCCCCTGATCTTTTAAGCACCCTTTTCCTCGCCTTCTACGGTCCTCTTCTCTTTTAAGAGGGTGGAGTAGCTAAGGGCAAATCGAACACTTTATACAAAATATATTATAGTGAGATAGAATGAATAAGCAAATACACTAATACTTATAGAACTAAACAAAGACTTGTGCACTGAAAAGCTAGCAAAAAAAACAAGGAAAAATTACATACGTACTACTCAATTCTTTACATATCTAACGTCTACACTTTAATTATTACAAACTTACCACTTTACCTATGTATTTATATCGGAGTTCGCCAAACACCAACGGGAAATGAAAATTTTATTACTAAAATAAAATAAAGATTGCAACCAAAAAACTCGGAAATATGAAATAACAAAAGACGGAACAAAAACTCAAACGAGGGCATAAGTCGAGGGTGGCGGTGTTACGGTTTGAGGGGATATAATAGATATGGAAAACCATATGATCGAGGGACAACATACTAGTGGTTGGTCGAGGAGGGAGTTAACAAGGTTGCTGTTGGGCTGCAAGAGGGAAGGAGGGTTGTGTAACTTGTGGAAGATGACGGTATGAGGGACGGCTGGCTGCAGACAGCAGGACTGGAGGAGAAGTGCTATGCAGCTGGACTGCGGGTTGACTGCAGGTGGAAGAAGTGGTTTCTGTGAGATGGATGCAACTCCCAGGGAAGGGTTATGACAAGGACATTGGATGGTGGGCGGCTGAGGATTGCTGGTGGAAGGTATGGGGGCTGCAAGAGAGCAAATGTGCCGCCCTCTGTTGCAGCAGTTACGGCAATGGCATTAGCGAAGAGAAGGTTGTGGAGGATAGAAAAGTTGAGGATAATCACCACCTCAAAACAAAAAGGAGGCGGAGCACCACTCGCCCTAGGATACAGTCCTAGAAGAGAAAACTTGGAGACGGCTGCCGTGCCCTTGGATACAGTCCTAAAAGAGAAAACCTAAGAGGGTGGGGACTCCCAAACCCGAGAAAACCTAAGAGGGTGGGGACTCCCAAACCCCTCTCATGCCCACGTCATGCATAAAAAATGTGTATTTTAACTCTTAAAATATATAATGGTTGCATCTTTTTATATATGATATGGAAGAATTGGGTGGTATAGATGTAAATGCCCCACAAAAATAATTGCATGATCCACCTGTCGATATCATACAAAACAAAAATTCATATCCAGATTGCCAAAATAAAATAAAATGTGTCTAGTCCATGCCCATTCAACCATATTCAGAGTAATCGCTAAACCAGCTAAACTCTTCAACGTCCCAACGAGAAATGTTTCCATGATAAACAGCAAAAATTCTTTTGAGGACCGAAAAAATACCTCGGTAGCAGCACCCGTTCCAGGATAAAATCTTCCGTTCTCATGTCGGTGCAATGAAACATACAGTACCTTAAAAATAAAAGATAACACATCAAAAATTAAATAAGAAACAAAATAACATGTGACAGAATTACGCATAAGCTCTAAGCACCGTTGACAAGCGGAAAGAACTATCAGTGATCACATATGTGAAGTGGTGAAGAGAAAAGAAAATTCAATTAAAGCAGCCATACCTTTAATGACTTAAAACATGACACCAAAATTTAAAGTGAACGGAGTGTGTGACCGTGCAAAACACAACAATGAAGCACAACAGACAAAGAAGGTTGATATGATACTTTAGACAACTAAATATTAAAAAAGGGGGGTCAATTACATATATACCACCCAATTCCTATGTATTTACATAGCTAATGCCTAAACTTTACTTTTCACATTTATACCACTCAAATCTTTCATGTCACAACAAAAACACAACTATTTTGATTTTTAAAATGTGAAATACACCTTTGCATGCATAGGTAAGGTAGCATATATGTAAATTGAAGTATAGGTGTTAGATATGTAAATACATTGAAACTGAGTGGTAGGTGTGCAAATCTTCCAAACAAAAATCAGAAAAATAAAGCATACTTTTAGAAATTAGGAATTCACATGCCCATCATGAGGGTAACCACCATAAGATCAAATGTGTGTTATTGATGACGATTTTCCTAAATGCTGATGCAAATCTTCTCAAATGTTTATTGGTTCTTTCATCAAGAAATAAAAAACCAATATAACAGTTCCTTGGTTTATTACTTCATTAAAACATTTCAACATATTTTTGGGATCGCAAAAATGACATAAATTAGAAATGTTGTATTTTTGTTTTACATTATCAAACCACAATAAATCATTCAGTTCAAAATAAATTGAGAAACAAAGGTTTCGACCATGATCTGTCTATAAATAACATGAAAAATAAGTTAAAATAAAAATAACCATAATTCTAAAATCATAAATAGTAAATTTTCATACTACAGCTCACCGATTTGTTTCCATCAAATATTTCTTGAGTACCATTGCCATGGTGTACATCCTGCCATTACCATAAAGGTAAGAAATGATCAACAGAAAAAAAAAATGCTCATCATTTTATAATTACAAACTCAAGATACACTCGAACAAAGTATAAATAAGACTCAAAAGTGGAAGGAATAAAAGTTCTACGGGGCATTTACATACATACCACCCAATTCGTACGCATTTACATTTGTAACGCCTAAATTTTAATTTTTAAATTTATACCACCCAAATCATTCATATCAAATAAAAAAATACAAATATTTTAACTTTTGAAAAGTGAAATGCACCCTTTCATGCACAGTAAAGATGGTCTAAAAGAAAAAATTGAAGTTTTGGTCTTAAAGATCTAAATATATAGTAATCAAGTGTTATGTATGTAAATGCCCCAAGTTTTAAATCAAACACACTAGAGCAAAATATGTAATTATGATTTTTCAATATTTCTTAAAACCCCTAACGATTTACCCAGTCAACAATTAAGACTTTCTTGGCCCCAGCAGTCTGAGCTGCTAATGCAGCAACAGCAGCATTATTGTGAAGGCAAAAACCCATTGCTTGTCTTATACCTGCATGATGCCCAGGAGGTCTAACCTGACTTATGGAATGAAGCAGAAAAAAACAAGATCAGTTATGAATTAAACATGGAAATCAGCAAAATGACAAAATAGTCCCTTGACTATTTACAAGGAACCATTTTAATCCTAGAGTCTATAAAAGTGTAAAATCAGTCCACTAATTCTTTTGATTGAGGCTAAAATAGTCCTTCCCTGGGACTATTTCAGCCCATTATTCTGCAATTCTGGGACTAAAATAACCCCTGTAAAGGGTCAAAGGATTTTTTGACCATTTTCTCACATGGAAATATCATAATCTTCGTAAGGTAAACTAGAAATAAAGGCCAATTTACCAAGGCAAATCCATTGTTAGTCTTCCCAGACAAAATTAGGATTGCAAGGTCTGCGCAGAGTCCAGCAGCGATTCTAGCAGCCAGGGCTGAGTGTTGGTTGGCATACGTATCTGGAGTGAAGTAGCTGTGTATGGAACCAAATGAAAGTTAATCGTCCAGTGGCATCTACATACATACCACACAATTCTTATCTACTAACACATCTAACACGCACATTTTCATATTTACATGCATAACACTAAAATCCTTAAAAGTACATAAAAAATTCCACTATTGCTAAATTTTAAAAGTAAAATGCAACTTTTCATGCACAAGTTTATGACCCCAAAGTGTTATAAATGTAAAGAATCAAATTTTGGATGTTAGATATGTAAATATATAAGAGTCACGAGGTATGTACGTAAATTTCCCTATTATTTGTTAAGCTTTCAGCATTGAGCAATAAGCAGTCAATAAAAAGGCAAGTACCGTCATTAGACTTGTCAATAATAAATTGTATTATAAAAGAGATGATTGATTGACAAAATCCACTGAAAATGAAAGATTTGAAATGGATCATGAGCACCTAGTTAAAGAAATCAAGAAAGATTTACATTCGTAAGACTAAATTCTGATGTTTTCACATATTGAATACCTAAACTTCAATTTTTACAAACATACCACCTTAACTGTGCATGAAAATATGTATTTCATTTTTTAAAAATTAAAATGATAGTATTTTTTATGTGATGTTATAGATTTGGGGGGAACAAATCAAAAAAGTAAAATTTTGGTGCTAGATTAGTACCAAATATAATGTCACGGTTATCTTGGGCAAGGGCCATTTCGATAAATAGCAATCAACATTATAATCACCTTATGTTCCACAGCTTTCTCTCCTATTGGAAAATTTTCAGTTTCAATTACTCAGTTTCACTAGTTTAGTCATTATTTTTTGCCTTTTAAGTTCTTTTATATTAAAAAATTAAGGCATTGCATTTTAAATTTAGTTCAATAAATAAATTTAAAAAATAAAAACAATTAAATATAAGATGGAAGGATTACATTGATTCCCTCTAAATCCTATAAATGATATAATTATACATGCTATTCCTACAAACTATATATTTAAAGACAAATCTTAGTATCAGATAGTAATTCCTCTATGTACTCAATTTAAAGTTAAATTGTTAGAATAGAAAAATGTCTCTAAGTTTTATGAGATAAAAAGACATCGCGAAAACATAATAGTAAATTTAATAAAATCATAGCGAAGAAAAATAATGTTGGAATCAAATATTGAGCCATAAGAAATCATTGAGATCTAAGATGAGGATGAAAGAAATAAAAATACTAAGATAAATACATGGAAAAATTATAAATGATAATATAATAAAGAAAAGGTTGTGTAGAAATTACTTTGAGAGAAAAAGTGCTTGATTTCATTATTCACATGTAGGGTAGAATATATAGGGGAACCAATCCTTCCTAATTTACAAACTTACAAAATATATCCAGCCTAAATTAGGGAAGGAAATATTTCAGAATAAAAAATAAAGGAGAAAAAAATAGGAAAAGAATAAACACAAATGAAGAGGTTTTCAAATTGATCTCCAATCAAATCTCCCAAAAAATCTTGGCTAAACAGCTGGTCCAAGCTAGGAAACACCACCTTAAGCTTCTCAGGTTTCCACAGCTTGGAATAAAAGTTATTGAAAATAGATTTACTGAAAAATAGACTAATTGTTTGAAAAGGTGCAACTAAATATAGAAAATACGCATGTTCAAATGGTTGATAAAATTGGTATCAAAGGATTAGAACAATAAAGTAGGCCTAAAATCATATGGAAAGAAATTGTTCAAAATGATTTGTGAATAGTATGTTTAAGATCTCAAGCAGCACTTAACATAGATGAATGGAAAGTGAGGCTTCACAGTTCTAACACCAATAGTTGGGATAAGTCTAATTGAAGATGTGAAAGATTAATGATACCTAAATGAATATTTTTTGTATTGCTTTCTCTAGGATACTATCACATTGCTATAATTACCTATTTCATGCCTCTAAATTTATCTAATTGCATATTAAATTAAAGGCTCAACCAAATTTCTTGTCAACAAATCGCTGTTATTTAATCCTATGCATATCACCAGCAATGCAATCATTTAGAAACATAGCTAAGAAATATGTTACATAATTATCTAAGCTTATCACGTAAAGAAGATTCAATTGGCTACTGGATAATAGATCCACCTTAAATTGAGTAGCCCAAGTTCAATTTCAGTAACAAGCCTCACTTATAATAAACATTTTTTTCTGCTTCATAAAGTGACTGTGGAGGCCATTTTTGGGCCAAACTTTCAGCCCATTTCAGCTCCAAATGGGCTGAACTAGTGAAAATAGTGGGAGAAAAAGTTAATTTTAAAGCTTCTAGAAACCAATCTAAAAATAGGTTTTGAACGGTATCATATAATTTTGAAAACATTGCGAACAATCAGGGTCATAAACTAAATATAAAAATGTTTAACAAACCAAAGTTATATTTTGCAATCAATCTAAAAATCGCCTAATTTTTTAAAGCATCAACCAAGCTACAACTAGACTAGCCAAATACAATGAAACATAAATCATACCGACGAAACTATAGGAAATTAAAGTGGGAAAAGAACAATGAAAAATAAAAGAAACTAGGAATAATAATTAGGTTTCATAAAGTTTTTTCTTAACTTTAAATAGACTAAGAGAACAGTAGAAAAATTAATGATCATAAATCTTGTGCTCTACCATATAAACTATGTATAGAGTTAAAGAACTGGAGTGCAAATATACTTTAGGTACCTTGAGAGCAAGGAACTCGATTGTTGGACAGCTTCAATATGATCGGAACTGCAATCGGGGACAAAAATATAAATAAATTTGTTCATTCTGACAAATGTGATCCAAAAAAACCATCAACTTGGCAAATATTGAAAAATCAAAGAATACAAGGAAGCATCCAGCTAAGAACCCTAGATGGACATTTACATCTAGGGAACCCAAGCAAAAGCTATTTCACCAATGACTCAAAAATCATGAGAACAAATAATTGACCTTTTCAAGCCATGGAGGCCAAAACTGAAATGAAACAACGAAAACAGAAAGGGGCATTTACATACATCAGATAATTCTTATATGTTTACATATCTACCACCTAAACTCTCATATTTACATGCATACCTCTCAAAACTTTAACATCACATTAAAAATACCACCATCTCTATCTTTCAAAAGTGAAATGTCAATTTTCATCCATATATTTATGACACCAAGGTTTTAAAAATTCAGATAGCAAACTTTGGGTGTTAAATATGTAAATAGATAAAACTTGTGTGATATGTGTGTAAGTTTCCCAAAAATAAATTATCGCAATAAGCACTTCACCTTATGGAGCTCTTCTGGATTGATTTCTCTCGCAGGTATTAGTATGCATTTTCCAGGAAATATTCCTACAAGCACCAGCAAAAGCACACTTTCATCCCAAGGAAACTTCAGAACAATAAAAAAATGAAAGTGGCATAGGTTTAAAATAAATAAGAGGCATTTACATACATACCACTCAATTCCTATGAATTTAAGTATCTAACACCTAAACTTTAATTTTTACATTTATGCCACCAGATTCTTTCATATCACATCAAAAATACCATCATTTTAACTTTTAAAAAGAGGAATACACCTTTTCATGCATAGTTAAGATGGCATGCATAAATACTTAGGAATAGAGTGGTATGATGTAAATCTTCCAATAAATAACTACGAGTAAAAACGCGAGCTCAGCTTCAGTCCTCTTAAGATGTTAGGCAAATGTTTCAATGGTTTGCCTCATCTAAGGAAAGCAATCCGTGGATTTAGCAGCGCAACAAGTATTTTTGAAAAAGACGAGAAAGTCAAGAACCAAGAAAATGCCGTGCCAAAAAGTAACTATCATGCAAGGGAAAGCCAATTTCTGCTGAGTGAAAATTTAAGGAGTATGGAGATAGCCAGCTAAATGCAGACCCCTTAGGCTTGTTGTTGTCGTTGTTCTTGTTGTGGAGATAGCCAACTAGTTAGAAGAAACATTTATTAATAGGGGCATCTACATACATACCATCCAATTCTTATGTATTTACATATCTAACACTTCAACTTTGGTTTTTACATTTATAACACCCAAAAAAGTCATATCACATCAATGATGCCACTTTTAAATTTTAAGAAGTGAAACCTTTTAATGCATAGGTAAGGTGGCATAAAAATTGAAATTTAGGTGTTAGTAAGTAAATACATATGACTTGAGTAGTGAGCACCTAAATTTTCCTTATTAACAATGAAGCCGAAGTTCCAGCTAGAGGACCGTCAATATTCAACGGAAAATTTATAGAGCAAAAGAAATTATTTTTTGCACATCAGAAAAATTAAAAATCATACCAGCAGCAGCAAGATTAGCGGCAATGGCTTTAAGACGATCGGGTCTCTCTGGGTGTGGATGAGACTTCATCTCAACCTGAATAAAATAGCAAGTAAATAAAATTTCACCTAAAAATACTGAATGAATTTATATAACTCAAATCCTAACATAAAATATATGTGAAACAACAACAACAACAACAACAACAAAAACACACCATTATCCACTAAACGGGGCTGGCTACATGAATCTTTTTTCTCCAATAAGTGAAACAACTGAACTCAAAAATAAATAGAAAGATTTAAGTTCAAGTCTTTCGTAAATGAACCGCATATTATCAAGTACAACTGATTCTGAAACAATTCACAACATATCCACATGGAACATTAGCATGAATCCGAATCTTCAGTTAATCAAATAGTTGAGGATATTAAATATCAGAACACACCTATCCATTTTTGTCCCTATATGAGCTAAAAAAGTAGCAAAATTCGAAGGCTTCACAGGGAAAAAAAATTGGGTAAGGGTATCCTGACCAAATTCCTACATGGATGGCGATACCGAAGCCAACTCAAATCACAGTAGAAATGAAAATATTATTGTTGAAATTTAAATAAGTTACAGTAATTGACTCTCCAAAACACTAAATAAATGACAACAACACAAAAGAGCCCTAACACGAGGGTGAAGACAGTGGACACCGGCGAGACAGCTGATAGGGGGCGAACTGGACGGCGACGACAGTTGCCGAGAGCCCGAGAGGATGGCTAGGTGCAAGCTGGTGGCCGATTATAGCTGGTTGAATGGGGGAGTGGGTATGAGCAGCGTGAGGCGGGACATGGGATTACGGAGAGCGGGTTGGATGGGGAAGCAAGCCATGACAGCAAGTGGGGGTAGGACGTGGGCGCAATAGCAGGCTGCTGGAAATAGGTAGGATATAGGTGGTAGGATTAAGTGAGGCAGGGAGGCCTGCAGGTGGACTGCGGCTGGGTTTGACGGAAAAGGAGCAGGGGGTGTAGAAGGGAGTAACGGTAATAGAATAGTTTAGTTGGATGCGGCTGGGATTGAGGGAAACGAGCAGAGGTAGGTAGGGAGGATTACCGGACTGGAATCTTGCAGTGGTCGCAGCTGGGTTTGACAGGAAAGGAGCAGGTAGAGCTATGGCAGGGGGGAAGGAGATTTGGCGCTGCAAGGGACAGCAGATCTGCTGTCCATGGGAGGCTACAGCAACTACGACAGCGGCGGCGGAAAGGTGCAGAGGGGAACGTCGAGGATAACCACCACCTCGAAGCGAGATGCGGTCGGAGCAACACTCGTCATTGGATACAACACCGAAAAAAAAAAGAGGACGTCAACAGTTGTCCTTGAAATAAATCTAAAATCAATGTCACCAAAACAAAACCCTAAAACAGATAGATGGCATATAAATAGAAGATGGATAAGTCGGGAAACAAAAATAAGGAGGGGGAATAATTCCAGCCTAATGAAAAGAGGGGTTGGTACAACCTCCTGTTGAACCGATTAGGGTCGGCTTAGTCCCCCAAGCAGCGGCATCAGTCTCCTGGAATTGAAGGAGCATCGACCTCATTCGTCGAAGCTTTTTGTCTCCTCCTATTAATCAGGTCGATCATGTTGTAAGCTCCTAGTAAGTCAATTTTATAGACGGCGTCGTTCCAAAGAACATCGTAATAAAATAGGTATTCGTCTTCTTTTGGCAGTGGAGCCCGGTTTGATCGCTTCTCGCTCCCGCCTCCCTGCGTCGATCACGAAACTCTTGCTCCTCTGTCGCGAATCGTCGTGACATCTCCCGCGACCCCTGTTGTTACGTGAACCACTCGGGAAAAGGAGCTACCTCCTGTAGTTTTCAGAAGTCACAATTTTGGTGTTCTTCTTCGGGTTTCCTCGGGACAAAGGAAGAGAAGTGCAAGAAATAGTTTCTTGCGAAGAAGAAAGACGAAAGAAGAAGATTGTTCTCCCTTGGCTTCTTCTTGGTGGCTTGTGGCTAAAGAGAAATTGGATTTATTTATTTTGTAAGTTTATCTTCTTCGGTGTATCTCGGTCTAAAGTTTCTTCGGTGTAAAGAGAAAAGTATAGAGAGAGAAGAAGAGGGAGCAACAAAGTGAAAGATTCCTCTTGTTAGTCGAGGTGATCGACTGATGTAAATTCCTCAAGTAGTAAAATTTTCTGTAACTCCGTGGACGTAGAAAATTTGCCGAACCATGTAAATCTGTGTGTTCCGTTGTGTTACTGTTTTCTAGCGTGAATTTTTTTCGTGTTATTTTTCGCTTCAAAGATAGTTTTCTTGTTTGATTTATATATATACCACATCAACTGGTATATCTTGCAACAACTGGTATCAGAACTTTGTTCGGATCTAAGGAAGAATGATGGCTGCAGATGAAGTGAAAATTTCAGGGATCGAGAAATTTAATGGCACAGATTTTGGTTATTGAAGGATGTAGATAGAGGACAATCTCTATGGGAAGAAACTTCATTTTCCGTTATTGGGTGACCTGAAAGAATGGATGAAGCTGAATGGAATTTGTTGGATCGACAAGTTCTGGGGGTTATTCGATTGACCCTATCGAGGTTCGTTGCACACAATATCGTCAAGGAGAGAACGACTACAGATCTCGTGGCAGTCTTATCAGGTATATATGAAAAACTACCGACGAATAACAATGTGTACTTGATGAATAAGTTATTCAATTTGAAGATGACAGAAGGTGTTTCTGTTGTTCAACACTTGAATGATTTCAATATTATCACAAATTTATCACAAATTTATCACAAATCAATTGTCGTCTGTTGAAATTGATTTTGATGATGAGATACGTGCGCTAATATTGTTGGCATCATTGGCAAATAGTTGGGAAGTCATGAGAATGACAGTTGACAATTAGCAATTCTACAGGTAAATTTAAACTGAAATGTGATCATATTCTTGATTTGATTTTGGCTGAGGAGGTGCATAGAAAAGATTCTGGCGAGATCTCAAGTACGAGTTCGGCATTAAATGTTGATTTTTGAGAGATAGCAGGACATGAACTCAAATAGAGGGAGATCAAAATCAAAGTCTAGTCCGCACGCAACCTGTTGGAATTGTGGCAAAGTCGGCCACATAAAGAGGAACTGCAGGAATCCCAGGAATATGAAAAATGATAGCGCATATGTGGTATCTAAATAAGTGCATATGTGGTATCTGAATAAGTACAGGATGCACTATTGTTGGCAATTCACAGTTCTATTGATAATTGAAGTGAAGAGAAGAGTGGGTCGTATTGTTCCATAGACATATGGTGGAAAACCACATAGTAATGAAGAAATCTTGCAAGATAAAAGTTCGAGCGAGTGAGAGCTGACAAAACTTCCACCATGGAAGAAGACATTACACAACAAGTAGGTGTATCGGGTGAAAACTGGGTGAAAACTGAGTTGATGGCAGTAAGAGAGGTACAAGTCTAGACTTGTTGAAAAAGCTTTCAGCAGAGGCAGGAAACTGCTCATGCCGTGAGAGTTGTAAGCAGAGACAAAAGTAATTTAGGAAATAACTTGGAGGTGCAAGGCTATGTTGACCTTGTTGATATGTTGAATGAAGGTGTTACTCTTGAGAAACTAAAGTTGTGCACAGCTTCAGTTGGTCTTCTGGAGTAAAAAAAAAGGACTTTGAGTTGCAGAGGTAGAGGATTCATGTTTGAAGAAAAGGGTGAAACCGCCAATGGAGGACATCAATTCGAGGAAGAAGACGTTGTAGCAGGTGTACCGATCTCCAAGTGGGAGATTTGTTAGTGTTGAGCCCAGCACGATCGCTTCTCGCTCCCGCCTCCCTGCGCCGACAGCAAAGCTCCTGCTCCTCTGTCCCGAATCGTTGCGACATATCCCGCGACCCCTGCTGTTACGTAAACCGCTCCAGTCTCCACTCGTGTCTCCCGCCTTCGTTTGTGTCTCCCGCCTTTCCTTAGCCTGGAAGCATCACTTCGCCTCCTTTTATCGTGAAAAGGAGCGGCCTCCTATAGTTTTCAGAGGTCGCGATTTTGGTGTTCTTCTTCGGATTTCCTCGGGACAGAGGAAGAGAAGTGCAAGAAATAGTTCCTTGCAGTGAAGGAAGAAGAAAGAGGAAGAAGAATGTTATACCTTGGCTTCTTCTTGGCGGCTTGTGGCTATAAGTTTATCTTCTTTGGTGTATCTTGATGTAGAGTTTCTTTGGTATATCTCGGTGTAGAGAGAAGAACAAAAAGAGAATAAGAGAGAGCAACGAAGTGAGAGATTCATTTTATAAGTCGAGGTGATCGACTCGTGTAAATTCCTCAAGTAGTAAAATCCTCTACAACTCCATGGAAGTATGCAATTTGCCGAACCACATAAACATGTGTGTTTCGTTGTGTTACTATTTTCTGGTGTGAATTTTTCTCGTGCAATTTTTAGCTTCAAAGAAAGTTCTCCAGTTTGATTTATATATATACCACATCAACTGGTATAGCTCGCAACAGGCACAATCTGAGTCGGAGGTCCACAATGACGTAGGCTCTCCTGAGTCAAATTTCGAATAAGTACATATATATAATATGCTTCTCTCACTCCTCGTACTCTGCTACGGGGATCAACTCTGGAATGACATCTCTAGCAAGTTGGGCCACCCTGACGTGTGACCACTCATGAGAAGCGTTTACATCTTCTCGGGAAGGACCTGGATCCCACAATAGAATATTTTCTCCCAAAGATCTTTGGGTGATTCCTACCACTGCAGCTCATCCATCCTATCTACTCCTCTATCAAGAGATGCACCGTCAAACCGATTTTAATCCCGAAATGACTCACGATTATCTTCAATAAATAACTAAAAATCTTCTTATTTCTGACAAATTGGACCTACTTCCGTAGGGGCAACTCAAGGGGCAGCTTATATATCTGAAATGTCTGAAATCGCTTTATCTAAATTGACCTATGTTCAGTATTAGCTTCTCAAGCTCATGGCCCTTTTGGACATCCAAAGTCAATTATGTTGATTTTCCTCTCGACGCCTGTCAAAAGATAGCTCGAGGCACCACAACCCCATACTCTGCATGAACGCCGATTACATCAAAGTCACTACCTTCTAGAACAGCTACTGTTACCTCATCTGGAACCTCTGTCATGAGATCAACTGGAACCGACCGTGCCACTTGGCATAAATGTCAATTTTTCAAGGCCTATCCTATGGAAATTGGGTGAAGATATCCTCATCCATTTTTTCCTAGATTTCATACAGGCATAAATGTGATGTAGATGAGATTGTGTGCATCCACATCATCTGTGTTTCCAAGATAATAGTATATATGTGTTCCTAGTTCGGAGAAATATGAGTTTGATCAACCAATATAATATATATTATCACATCACACATACAAAGGAGACAAGGATTATAAGTTTACCCATCATAGGAATGTCAAATGTGTCTCCATTGTCATATCCAACTCTTTTTCTATAGGAAAATTTACATGTGCAGCGCACAATTCTTATGTATTTACATATATCACAAGTAAATTTTCATATTTACATACATAGCACTTTGGTGCCTTAAGCCTATGCATGAAAAGGTCTATTTCATTTTTAATAAGTGGTAATAATGTTATTTTTTATGTGGTATTAAAAATTTGAGTACTATGTGAGTAAATATAAAAGTTAAGGTGTGAGAAGCATAAATACAAAAGAATAGTTTATGTCGATTCCATATTTTTACTTGAGAAAATCTAAACCATATGTCATATCACATACAAAAATTTGGAGGGTAGGAAAAATTCGTGAAACATCAAATGTGAATATTTAACCCTCTAGAATTCCTATTAAAGTGCATTCATGCTTCATGGTGAGCACATTATACAACATTAACGCAATCATGCAATATGGGCACATAGCAGCAAAAAAGAAAAGGGTCATTTACATACATAATTTCTACTTTATACATTTATACCACCTAAATCTTTCATATCACATAAAAAATATCACTATATTGACTTTTAAAAAAGTGAAATGCATCTATTCATGCATAGGTAAGTTGACATATAGTAAAAAACAAAGTTTATATGTTAGATATGCAAAAACATAGGAATTGAGTGGTATGCATGTAAATCTTCCAAAAGAAAAAGCAAATCAATAGCCATATAGCCTGTCTAGCACCATAACTCTATGAACTATGTTCAACATGTAATTAGAAAAAAAGTAGCAATTATATAAAGTGTTGACCTCACAATGAAGCAACATCCTTTCATCAAAACCCATGGCTACACATGATTTGTAAGATGAACCTGCAAAATGAAAAATGACATTAGCAATATCACGTGTGGTCATTTTCTTTGAATCATGGACAGTTCTACAATATAGTAATCTGAAGAAATAAAACTACGCAATAGAAACAAAAAGATGAGTCTCTATTCAATTTAAAGCAACATGATATTTATTGCTAAAACAACAAAAAACGCCCAACTTTCTAATCCTTAAAAATGTACATAAAACAATAACAAAAATACCATCAGCCTTATCTATCAACCAACACAGTACTAATGCTAAAGAGTAATATTTTCTAGTTGTTAACAGAAAGATACTTAAAATATGCTTAGAAGCATCATGTTCAGCACTATGTGATGGAAATATTAGTGTTGATGCCCGTTGAAAGTATCGCATTAAGCAATTATTTAATATAATCATAGCTTATTTGCGCTCCTAGTTGGTTACTTGGTTCATTCTAATATTATAAATAAAACATCAGTAGGTTTTTCTACTGCATATTTTAAGGGCTTCCATACAAGTGTGAGTACCTCAGTGGCCTCTAGAGTCCTGCAAAATTGGCTGGTTTTATATCATCAACTGGGATGTTGGATTTCAAAATTGGTGTTATAACACATTTACAAGATGTTTTAGAATTTGAAATTAAAAACTTGGACTAGTTCTTATCTTTTGGAATTTTAATTTAAACAAGGTTAAGAATACAATTGTAAAATTATATCTACTAGCTCAGTGGTTGACGAAATTACAAATAGATGTTCTAATATAAATGATTGAGGAATCTGTACCCAATATTGTGAGTGAAGTTGAATGTGTGATTACTCCAATTGCGGTGCAAGTGGACCATCAAAATCTTCTTGTGCCAAATTATGGCCTAATGTTTTGTATTGTGGTATATATTCTTCTATCGTTCTTATTTCATCATCCAGTTTTGGTATTGGCTAGTGCTTTTGTTTTTATTCAAATGGTGCATCAAGAATTCAGTTCAAAGAACTTAAATTACAATCGCTGGCATGTTTTATGTGGTTTTACATTTTTACTGATTTCTTCGTATTATTTTGATCATTTTTTATCATCTCGGTTCAAAATATAGCATTAATAATTTACTTTCAAAAAATTTAAATAGTTAAATTAATTAACGACTTGTGAAACAATGATACTCAAGTTCCTTTGCATGAATTAAAAATAGCACATCAAATTAGTTGCAGTTAAAAGCCCCATCACGAAGTCATTCTGCATCAATATGACACTAACTACGAGGTGATGCCATCATGCAACACAAGAAAATCAGCTCCGCAAGTCAGCTACTGAGACAACTAAAAAGATAACAATCGATAGACATCAAAAGGGTTCTAATTACAGCAATTTGGATATGAGTTATAAAACACGACATAGCAAAAAAAATACATATAACGGTTTGCATATGCATACTTTATAGATAAATAGACACTCTAAGAACATCATGGACAATCAATACACAATTTGACAGCCTATTTTATCTAAAATGAGCCAAAATGAGCCGCTGGTCATTATTGGATAAAAAAATCAGCTTTCCAGAACTATATTAAAATTGACAAGAAACAACTCAATATTTTTTATTAAAAAAAAAACTTTTGAAGCGCATATGCTTCACCGTAAAATATAGTGATAATAATTTCAAATCAAAGTAATCCCTGAAACATTATGTCATAATGTTTAAATGCAAGCTACTCTAATTATAAAGGAAGCATGAAGAAGGTATACAGGTTGTATACCGCCACTAAAACTCTTAAGAAAGCAACAGTTAATACCAAATTAATTGCAAATCAAATCGTTAATAACTACATCAAATTATATATTCAAATAAAAATTGACATGATTACCATGAAATCTCTGAAGCGATTCAGCATTGATGGAATTCCAATTTCCATCACCAAAAGTGTACTCAGATAGCTCATGATCAAATATCACAGACTCCTTGTGTTCTCCACAAAACTTCACAATTCATTGAAACAATGAAAGATGAATTACATTAACAAAACATACCGAAAATATTCATTGATAAAGAAGTATAAAGAGACAATTATTTTAAAATAGAATTTACTACTTTGAGGGGGCAAAAATCATACATCACAATGACAAACATCATCAAAATTTGGCATTGTACAGTTACCGCAGAACCACTTTTTGATGACTAAATGATTAATAGGTTCCCAATCACTGTCATCTTCCTCATCATACTCATCATCACCATAATTTTCAAGGTAATGGAGATCACAGAATGCATTTCCCTTCTGCTCCCTGTTATGTTTTTCAAAACTTTGAGCAGCAGAAACACCCAAGCAACCATTATCAGCGCCGTTGTTAACCACTGTCATCTAAACCTTTCTTTTCCTTTTCACATGAAAATCCTGTTACTTCTCCCGTAAAATTGAGTTTAGATAAATTTGATCCTGATTCAAATAACTTTCTATTAACACTTATTTTATCATACTCATAATCACATGCTCGAATATAAAATGATATACTAATTAACTTAATTAAATATAACATTTTACCTTCTTATATTGTTCGGCCTTCCCTAACCCTCGCGCGAAAAGGATCGTTCCCGGCTTCTACGTCCTGCCTTCAGCTCAACCGTGCGAGCTCCCTTCCTTTCTTCTTCGTCTTCGATCGCAGCGCAGTCCAACGGAGCGCGCACGATTACCGTTCCTCTATTCTTTTCGTCTTCTCTTATTCTTCCTGTACGCGAGTACCGCAGGAAGATTCTCTCTTCCTCCTTCGGCTTCGACTCAACTCAAAAAAGCAGCGCGTGCAGAGGTTTCGACTCCCTTCCTCCTCTTCGATCGCGGCTCGATCCAGATAAGCCCTCGACACGAGGTCCCTTTCCTGCTTAGGTCTCCGCAGGGCCGCAGAATCCTTCCTTCGACTTCTCCTCAGTGTTCTTCGTTCTTCGGCTAGGTCACAGTAACTTATCAGGGTCCGTTTGATCCGAAGGGAAATGGCTATTTTGCTCTAGTAAGTAGTGGAATTGGTACCAAAAGACCGTCAAATATCGACACATATATGTGTGGGTCCCATCCTATAAAAAAATATATATTTTTAATTAGGCGGCCCGGCCCGACCCAGCATATCACGAAACGAAAAGGTAGATTTTGGCATTTTCCTCCTATTTAATCATGTCGGGCAGGCCCGAACCCCACCCAATCGGGCCGAATTTAAACTTCCAAAACAAAACGGCATTAGTAACAAAACGGCATTAGTAAGGTAAACCGACGCCCAGGATGTTCATTTTGTATTCCTTCATCCCCCCTCATCTGCAAGAGAAATTGCTACGTGTTCTAGGGTCTGCATTTGGAATTGTTTTTTATCTCGTTCGAGTCCCCTTATCACACAAAAATGGAAGTTAACCACCCTATCAAAAAAATCGAAGTGTCGGAGACGAAGGAAACTACAGAGCATAAGAAATAAGGAAAAGATATGAAGAAGAAGAACACCAAAGAGCTGATGAAAGCGTATCAGGGTAATTTCTTTTCTTTTTGCAATTGCTCTGAAAATCTAGCATTGTAGTATGTGATATTTAGATACTTTTTTTTTAAACTGTAATAAGATCTTAATAATATTGAAATATTATTGAAATAACACCAAAATAATGTTATAATAACACAGACACCATAATAATATCATAGTAATATCATGATAACACAACAACAATACATAATAACACTAGCGTTATAATAATACCATAATAACACTGCAATGATACCATAAGAAAATCATGATAAGATCATAATAATGTTTCAAGAACACTAAAAAACACCTTAATAAAACTTAAATAACATATATATCTCTTCAATGTTGTTGAAGTGTATTTTTTTGTTGTTTTATTTATGTTAATGATTTATAGATAGATAATTTGTTATATTTTTTGCATAATTTTTTTTGCAGGTTTGTGAAACCAAGGTCCTTCAGTTGTAGGTGTCGTCCATCCGTTGTAAAAGATGTTTTTAATAAGGTCAAGCTTGTCTTATCAGAGGAGATAAGGAATATATTGAGTATATTGAATGTGGATCAATTTGTTGATTTATATCCTTATCCGCAAGACAATGTTCTGACACTACAAATATTAAAGTGTTGATAATGTGAGTGAATGGTATTCAGAATGGGCGGGAAAGATCTCAGAATAATGTCACGGACTAACTTTCCTCGAGTTATCCGTGCGGCTTTAGTGCTCTTTCTTAGCACTAAATCAGCCTAACATTCCCAACTAATAACTTAAAAGCACTCTCTTGAAAGTAGAATAGGAAGAAGAGTTAGAGAAGATAAAGCTTCACTAGTAAAGAGAGATTACAAAGCTTGAAAGCTTGAAACCTTGGATGCCTTAGAATGAGGGAGGGGACACTTATTTATATCTCCCTCCATGGCTTTGGCTTTACATATTGCCAATGTGGGACTATTCTCCAAGGGGAGCTTTACAATATAATATTCTAGCTTCTAGATAGTTCTACACTATCTTTATGTACATCTATACTCTAGATTCTTCTAGGTTGTTCATTAGGCCTCCATCTTCTAGAATACTCCATCGTGTCGTAATATTGGCGGGGCGTGACATTCTCCCCCACTTAAGCTCGCAATGCCCTCATTGCGCTTCTCCTCTTGATACCGTTTGATTTCCTCTTTGAATTGCCACAGCATGTTTTCGTGCTCCCAGCTAGCCTCGCTATCCGGCCATCCTTTCCACTTGATGAGAAACTCCTTGTAGTTTGGTACCCCTCGTCGTCTAATCACCCGGTCGGCCATTATTTCTTGAACTTCTTTGCCGAAGAAGGATATGACGGCCGTAGGCGCTCGATTGGAGGTCCCCCTTGATGGGTCTTCCGTGTCTTCCTGGTAAGGCTTCAACATGCTTGCATGAAAGACAGGATGTATCTTCAGTTTTGGTGGCAAGTTGAGTTTGTAAGAGACCTTTCCCACTTGCTTTATCACCTCGAAAGGGCCTTCGTATCTTCGAATCAAACCCTTATGTACTTTTCAAAATCTTTTGAATTGATGGGGTAGTAGGTTCACAAGGACTAGATCTCCCTCTCTGAACTCGATATGCTTTCTTTTCTTGTCTGCCCACTTCTTCATCTTTCTCGCGGCCCTGCGTAATGCAGCTCGAGCTATTTCCCATTGTTCATTCCAAGATTTGGCAAACTTGAATGCGGGAGGGTTTTTTCCTTCATAGTAGGTTTGTTGACCTCACTTTTGGTTGAGGTCTAGAAACTTCTTTAGTAGCCTAGGTCTAGCCATAGGACTTTCCTATTGACTAGTCTTAGAAAATTAGAAAAGCTACCCCCACCATCAGAAATTCAAAACTTTTCTTTTTACTCAACTTGAAATTCCACATAATGATCTTAACCTCTAGCATTTAGCAGATAAGATCATTATAAGAGAATTCAAGAAGAGTCCCTATAGGATTACTTGGCTTTAGGATTGACCCTGGGTGTTGACTTGGAACTAGGGTACACCATATCTTCACAATACATTAATCCATGGTTCATTTAGAATGGATATCTATCCAATTCTATGTGAAATGCCTAACTTGGTCTTTTGCCCCTATGCACCTCCAAATTACCTAACTGCCCATGGGACCCAAATTTGGCTAAAATTCCCAAATTTTGCCAAATTACCCAAAATTGATCAAAACCCATTTCAAACACCTTAAATACATCCAAATTTGTCAAAATTTCCAAAAAATGACCAAATTACCAAGATACCCCTCCATGACCCAAAAATCCAAAAATTCCAAAAATACCTAAAAAATGCCAATAAATCTAAAATATTCCCAATTTCATTTTGT